GTCATATGACCAAGGATGAGGTCATATGAGGTCATGCACAGCCATGCACAGCAGGTCACCTGACCATCCAATCCTTCCAGCAGGTTCCAGCACATGCCAAGGTATACCAGCTACTTCCATGTCATAAAGGCTTAGTCATGTCTCTTGACCAAGCAATGAGCTGGTGCCCTGACAGGTGACAGGTTTGGGACACATTTCTGAGTAATGATGGTGGTCACTACTGACTGTGACAAGCAAACTGGATGGCTTCTGCTACCTTTTGAAAGGGTATCAGGAGATGAGTATCATGAAGCTATTGAAGTATGTGGAACTGTGGATCCAAGATGCTTGTGACTGACAGCATCATGCAGGCTATTTATTTGTTTTTCAGCAAAGTCAAGCCTAAGGCGATTTGTGATGACTTGTTACTCATGGTGATTGCATGTTCTGGGAGGAGGATCAGTGGACCAAACCAGGGTATTGCAGCTACAACATAAGTGAGTTGTGCTGTTAGTGTGAGGCAAAGTAATGAATTGGTTGCAGATCTTACTTCCACAACACCATCACTTTCACAGGGGACTCGCTCAAACAAAGGAAGTTCTCTGCTTGCCTTTTTTGCATTTTCCTCACGTCTTATATCACCCATGCTCAAGAGTTGCAACCTGCTTTGTTGGGTGCTTATAAGGATCTGAACAAAATTGACATCTATACATTGGCCTCCAATGAGCCATCTTGGAGGATCATGCCAGGAACCCCATGGCTGAACTGGATGGAAAATCCTACAGATCAAGACTGTCCAGGTTGTTTCCAACCCATGAAGCTGGACTGCCAACACCCAACAAGCACAATGTTTTGGTGCTGAGATATGCTGTGTGACAGCCAGAGAATCTTGCGTTTCAGACAAGGGGAAAACGGAGTCTACTCTCACGGACCAGGAACCAATTATTGGAGGCTGCAAACCAAAGTCAAGCTCAGAGAAACACAAATGTGTATAGCTCCACCCATGAGATATGTCACAGCCTTGGAGAGGTGCAGTGGGTGCCTGGCACATCTGCTTGACATCAGGGAACTAGCTCTTCAAGCACCCACCTGGTCACAGCTGGTCAGCCATAAGAAGCTGCATGCCTCAGAAGAGAGCAGTGCACTGCCCAAACTGCCAAGGAACCAACCAGACCAGCCAGAGGTGATTGGGTCATCTGACATGGAAATATCAGAGGAAGATAGGAGCAGGAGGGCTGCAAGATGTACTTTCAGTGAGAGAAATGCAGAAATGGAGACACAAATCTTGGGTGAATCATCACCAACCAAACCAAACCTGAGCATGACCAATGCCTCAGATAGGAAGGCTAAGGACCAAAAAGTCATGTGAGGCAGGGGAAGGAAGAGAAAGAATTCTGCACAGAGTACTGACAACATGGCAACAACAACCAAAACAAAAAGGGGGAAGATGGATGAAGCTGGGTCAAGTTTGTCTGTAGTGGGTCCAAAGATCAAGGGAATGTATTGGGGGAGAGGCAAGAACTATAACTGGGACAAGATATTGGTGGAGGAATAGGAGAGTAAATACTGTGGCACTCAGATGGGAAAGGTAGAGGCAAGGGTCAATCTTGCTTGAGCTCACCACCTGCCTTTGATCAATGTACATTATAGGTATACTCTATGTAAGCAGGTATGACAATGCAGTTCCAAAGCCTCCCAAAAGGGCACAATACAACATTACATCCAAATAGGGTGTTTGGGGGCCTTGAGAAGCCAGATCAGCCATGCAAGACTGGATGGATTTGAGGACAGTTGTTTGAATGGTATTATACAACTGAATCAAGGATGTCCATGATAACTCTTCCTGCTTGCATCTAGAAAGGAGTCAGAATCATAGGTGCTGCTATGGAATCTCATGCACTGTTCAAAATAGGCTTGATCTGCTGTGTCTTGTTCTCTGTTTCGCTCATTCTGCTCATTGACCTTGAGCTTTTTCTGCCTTGGCCAATGGGCTGTGCTGAAAAGTGCCGGTATCAACTTGATTGGTGGTGATCATGCGAAATACATCCTCTGGAATGTCTTTCACCATCTTCTCAGCTTCAGGGCACAATGCAGGTAGATCTGCAATGCAAGTAACATTGGCTTTCTTGTGCTGCTTCATGGTTTGTACATCAGTCACTGGTGAGATTTCCAGCTGGGCCACTTGATATGTGCACCATTGGAGAAGAGTTCACATTTGTCTGGCAGGAGGAACTTCTGGGTCATAGTGGAGATGTTGGTAATGCAGGTGGGGAAAGACTTGCCAGTGAGGATCATGAGTGTGAACCTGACCATGTGTTCTGACATTTTGGTGGCTACACCTGTCCTCAGTGACTCCAACCTACTGGGCTGCAGTGTCATCTGCCCACAGCCAACCAACAAAATGAACAACTGCAATCATGCCATTGCTCTTGAGAGAGCAGAAGAAGCTCTTATTTGTCTGGATGTGCAGGTAAGTGTCTCTTTTTTTTCTCTTGAACATACTGGCTGAGTCTTATAGTGCCAGGCAGACAAAATCGCTGAATCCATGGGCATTGTCTTTGTGAGTGGCCTGCTCATCAAACAAGCAGCAACACTGTATACCAGACTAGCCCCTGACTTGATTATGGGCATCAGAATTCTCCCTGCACTTTTTGCAGGGCTGGTGTTTGACTTTGTGTGGTTTGTTCTCTACCACATGAAGAATGGTGCCCATGGGATGTTTGATGGAATGGACTTTTCACTTGGTCCTTAATGATTGGAGGTGCATTGCTGTGCATTGCTATAATAATTGTCATAGTAATGTTTCATTAGCTAGCTAGAAGTGCAACTCATATATGACATGTTCAGGAAAATGGGGTGGCATAATGAGAAAAAAAAAAGTAGAAGCCGGAACATATTGATATTTGGTTACATAATAAAGAGGGAGATGGAAATGCCCTACACACGGGGTCCTGAAGCGGAGGCAGACTGCCGAGCTCGGCCAAGGAGCCTAAATACCTCCGTAAAATTTAAGCGAACAAGGCCCTTCCGGCTTTCCATACTACAGTGATGAAACAGCCTAACCCGGCGCACGCCGCGCTTCGTTTCGCACGCACGAGCCTTTACCCACCATGCGTCCTCCTCGCAGTATGGACCATCCATTTCGACATCAACAATAACTAACGCCGAAGACTTCGTACCTTGCACCAGCCCTGCACCCTTTCTCTACCCAGCAGAAGGTGGGGTTGTCCGCACAGAAGTGGGGTCAGTTCTGCGTTTTACGAAGCCCGCTGCGTGTGGTGCAGATATTCTTTCTGCGGCAAGATCGTATTTAATGGAGGGGAGAGGGGATGGGAGGCGCCCGCAGGAGGGAGACGCCATGTCTGAGTGTACGCCTCTTTATTACATTCCTGAGTAGGGCTAACCTCAATCCTTGTAGTAGCAGACGCATTCCAATCCCTCTGCTCTGCCCTCCGGCAGCAGTACATCGTGCTCAAGCCTTTGGTACTCCAACAACTCCGCACGCTGAGGTGGAACCTCCATCTCTCCCTACTCGAGCTGCGGACAGACCTTGCCCGCCCCTTTCGTGCACTGCGGACCTACTCGGATCATATCCTCCTCCTGGACTCACCTGACGCGCAAGGGTGGCAAGTCGCTCTCCAGGTGGCGGACGATGAGTGCCGGGTGTGGAAAGTTCAGCATCTGGAGGGGAGGAAGATGAGTCATGGTGTCCGGCTCGCATCGTCCAAGCGCAAGAGGAGTGGTGGAGCAGAGACAGCGCCAGCGAAAGAACCGATCGTGCACCTTACGCGACTTCCCCGCCCGCCTGGCGTTGCGCAAGAACTCATACTGGAAGAAGTGCACCACGTACTTGCCCTTGACAAGCTTGACGACCCGGAGTGGGTATTGCGCGACGCGGTGCGAGGGGCTAAACGGCGGTGTTTGAGGGAAGGCGCGGGGATGGAGTGGTGTGATGTCTGGCTTGCGGAGGTGGTGAAGAAGAGACCGGGGATGATCGCCAAGGCCGAGAAGAGGAAGGAGGACGGGAGAGCGGTCACCCTCGCAGCGAGGTTTGTGCCTTCCTAGACCAGGGTATCATGGAGTAGAGTGTATGCATGGGAATGATATTGGGAACCTAGAACCAGATACTGTAGTGAATATGACCTCTAACTGAATCCGTCTGTCCTCCCTCCAAACCAGAGCATAGCACTCCCTACTCCCGCGACTCTCCAGATCTCTCATGTTCCTCAACCTCATGCCGCTCCCCTTCCTCCTCGTCCCGCTCCCTCCCTGCTTCCTGTGCGTCTTCCTCGAGCCGAATCTTGCCTTCTCGGCGCAAGAGTTTCCTCAGCCTGCATCTCATAAGCCTAACTCCATCCAGAAGAAAAGGGACATACGGCTGGGCGATCGTCACGAGCCTCCTGGCCCGCCTCCAGAGGAGGAAGATGAGGCATATCGCGAGGAGGGAGATGAGGAGGTAGAGGATGGGAGGTGTGAGCGGGACAGGCTCGGTGGGCTTTGAAGGCACTCGTTTTGGATCTGCATGGAGGAGGGGTGGTCAAATCTAGATGAGGCTGGTGTGGGCTTTGGAGGGAGTACCTCGCGGGATGCCGCCGTCTTCGGACGTCAGTATGGTACGAAACGCTGGAGGGAGGCGGGGACATACCGTCAGACTCGTCTCTCCGGTATGCGTACATGGAGTTTATCAAAGAATCCGGTAGCGACTACACCTCCAGAGCGTCAGCGGGTGCAAGGTGAGTATACATCCAGCGCAGCGAGCCTTGTTGCACACAGGATGGGCTCTTACGTAAGCCCGATCTGATCGAAGCAGCGCGGGGAAACTTCCGGGCGGCTTGTGGCCAAGTATAACCATACATATTTCATTACCCGTGTACATATCATCATAAATATCGTATAATCCACATATAACAGAGAAAGCGCATATTTACCGTGTTTGAACGAAAGTCGTAAAGGTCATAAACAAGACAAGAAAACAAGGATGTTTCCAATCCGCGGATATTGCGTTATGGGGGAGCGAGCAAATCAGCCAGAAACGAGGTCAGACCAGCTGGATTCGGTGGTCCAGATCTCGTAGTTGTTGGTACCTGCTCCGGGAATGACAACTTCCCAGTAACACCTGCACATGTCTTGAGTTGAGAATCGGAGGAACAAGTGTCAGAATTACATACCATGGGATGTTGTAGTCGTTACATGCCTGCACGTACGCATATATAATAGAAGCTTTGTTGGGTCCGTCGGCGCCCCACTATTACAATCATCAGTAAGCGATTCTGAGGGAGTGAGGTTGCACATACCTCCTCGAACAACAGCTTCTTGCCCATCCCGATCACCTGCCCATTCGCAGTACTCACGGTCGGTACACTGGTCCACGGCGCAGTGCCATAATCATGCACACAAACGATGTCAAAGTTTGACCCAAACGCCCAATTCGAGTCGGTGCTCGTGGTGATGTCGACTCCTCCGCCGTTGGACACGAGGATGCCAGAGTTTGAACCAAGAATAGATTTGATCGTTCCGGCCCGAGTGTTCGCCCAGCTGGGGTTGGCTAAGCCCATGTAGCCCTGGGATTCGTTCTCGGGTTCGCTGCGCTAATATTAGAAATAGGGGACACAAAAAGGATAGGAGTAGCTAACATAGCGTAGATTACACTGCTCAGCTGCTTCCAAGGCGCATTGCCCATCTGAGTGTTGACGTGGTTTAGAATATCTGCGCTCTGCTCAGCCTGAAGGCTGATTGTTATCAATGAAGGTAACATACGGGTAATCCGAGCATCGAAGGCAGTCTGAGCAGCAGTACTCGTGTAGAAATTGGTTGCATCAGTCACCATCGGAGCACCGGTCGTGCCCGCTGGCACAATGCCATAGGTGGTCGCATAGACATCCACTTCGTCCCAGCCGAGAGAGTAGCGGTCGTGCAGAGCAATGATCAGCTTTAGTCCTAGGCTCTGACATTCCACCATCAGGCTATCGATAGCTTCAAGAACCTAGGGAGGAAGTCATTGATATACACAACGTGCTTCTGAATTGTCTCGCATACCGTATCGTCCCAGTTACCAACGCTTCCGACTTCAACATCGTTGTACGCTTGGTTGCCGCTACTCTTGTTGTTGGCCAGTACCTGATTAATGAAGATGCGGATGACAGTGAAACCTGATGCAGCAAGTTTCGAGAGAATGAGATTACGGTTGGCGACCGGAAGAGTGTGGAGATAGTATGACTGAACACTCTCAGACAAAACTGCTAATGACGTGCGATACTGAACACTTACATTGGCTCCGATATACGGTGATGCATTGGCAGTTGCTTCGTCAGAGGTACCGATGGCAGCTTTGATGTTCCCGGATGGTTGAGTCTTGTTGTCTGGAACGGAGCTTGAAGACACTTGGGTTGGCTCGGCGACGAAGTCTTGCCACGCCTTGCAGTGTTTCCAAACAGCATGGCGACCTTGCACCAGGGATTGCAAGTATTGTTCAATCCCTTTGCGTCGTTGTTCCAAGAAGTTCTCGTCCAGCCAGGCATATGGCTTGATGGTATGAACGAGTGGTAGCTGCCCTTGGCCGCCGCCAACCTTGTAGATCGACTTTGGAGGCAGACAATAGAGCGGTTTCACATGGGATTCCTTCAGCAGATCAGCGTGCAGCGCCGCAATTTTGCCGTATCGTCGATAAATAGTTACGGGTTGTTTCGACTCGCTGTCTTCCAGCACAATCTGATAAACCACGTGCAAGGAAGGCTTGGAGCGTGTCGAATAGCTCGGCACAGTGAGAGCGTTGACTGTCATGATGGTAGAGCAAGACAGATTATCCAGAGAGCAATTTCGAGTCCGATACCATATATCCGAAACAAATCCATGGTATTTATGCGGTGGGGAAGGTTGCGAGTACGTCACTCCTATGCAACTGCGACGCCGAGCACTCAATGCCCCTAGAATTGTGAGTGGATGACGGGCCTAGAATAGCACACCTCGTGTCATAGGGAGAAGCAATGACGGCAAGATTACTGGCCTTGCCGGGGAATCGAAACGCCGAAGCATACGCTCGTGCGACGCGCTCCGCCTCCTTCCCCCCTTTCAACCCCTCTTGCCCCCACAGTCGATCTTTCCAAGTAGGCGAGTCAAGAAGAAATACGTTTACTAAGAATGGATATAAACTCACCTCCTAGGCGGTAAAATACCTTTCCTTTCCTCATATGGCTCGTGAGTCCTAGTCCCGCGGATATAGCCTCATTGAGAAGGGCAACCAGATGTCAATTCATCACAGATCATATCCCGCAAGGACGCTCCTGCTTCAATCGACGTAGACACTTATAAACCTGGCATATCCATTTGAAATGCTTCTGATCCACCTCCTCTTTAACTTAAGAAGCCATTGTTTCCAAGATCAAGGTGCATTGGGTGGTCGAGACTTGTACTAGTAATAGGCACCGTGCTTGTCGATCACATAGCCTCGTCAGGCATGCGCTTACAGGTACGGTTCGCTATGATTCATTTGCAGTGTCGCACAATCCTTTGACGATACAGGAGTTGAAACAAGCATGTCCAATATATTCCGCCAAGTAAAGCGTCGATCTCTGTTCCAAGCCGGCATCCTTTTCGCCCGCTCCGGTAGATCCCGCCGACGACGCCCCAAAGTTGGTCAAGAGTAGTAATTCCAGGACTGTAGGCAGTCAAGTAACAAGCAAGTGATCATTCCAATTGTGAACTAGTTCAACGATAAAATGAGTGTACAGGCGAGCGCAGAGGGGCAAACGTTGCCAGCGGACTGGAGTTTGAAGGTCCGAGAGAGATGTGCGCACGTGATTGACGCGTCTGGCCTCGATACTGATGTGTCGTGACTGCCACTCACCGTTGACGACGAAACGATCAAATCAACAAAGTTCATCACTGCCAAGTCCTGTTGCTTCATGGGAAGGGATAGAAAACGGTTCGTGAAATATGCATTGTATCCTAGCGCTGTGATAGTGAGAGTTTCCCCGATAGGCGACGTTCAGGAGCGTCGCGTACCCCTGGTAGTCCCAAAAAGAGCTCCGGTCGGGATGTTACTCAGGTATCGGGCCGCCCGTCAAGTGATGCTGGGGGAAGGAAGTCACTGGTGCGCTCGCTTAATGCAAATCCGTTGGCTGTACAAGTACTGATCTCCCCTGAAAGATCAACGCCCTGTCTTCACCAAGCAAAACGCGTCGATGTGGACACCCTCCGAAATCTCGCAAACGACAAGATCCGATCTCTTCCATCATGGAACTGACCAACGAGTGCGACAAGTTATCTAACCAAGACGAACTTCAATTACTCAAGCGCGCATATATGATCAATAAATGCCCCTCTGGCCTAGAGATCCGACATCTCGCACTGATCATGGGTCGGTCCCATGCCACTGTTCGCACATGGTTCGAAGCTCACAAGCCGGTGGACACTCACGATTCCGTCAACCGGGAATTGCAAAATGCACTAGAACGCTTCGACTATCTAGATTCCTCTGAACAGGAGGATCAGGCTGAGGACGAAGAGTCTGATTTGACTGAAAGTGAGGAGGAGCTCGTCACCCCGAAGAACGACCCGCTGTCCTTACAAAAATCGAAGACATCAAATACTTCAAAAACATTCTACCACGACCGCCAGAATCATGTATCCGCGTCCCACGGAAGCTCTACCATGCCATCTACACCAGCGATGGGAGCTCGATCCCAAGAATCTAGTTCCCCCACACCACGCCCAGGGAGGACCTCCTCCAGCCGTTCCTTGATCAACGGAGAGAAGAAAGCAGCGTTAGAGAGCCACTTTAGGAAGGACCCTAATCCGACCATGGAATCGCGCAAGAAGCTGGCTCTGAAGATACATATTGATCCTCATCGCATCAGTCAGTGGTTCGCCATGAGGCGATTCCGCTTGCGCCGTGCCTCTGAAGAGTCAAGCAAGTCAAATGAATACCTTGACGAGAAAATTATCAGTTGTGTCGATGTTAAACCCGAAGAAGTACCTCGCCCGACACCAACATTGCATAGGAAACCCGATCCACCGGCCGTTACGCGAGCACCAATCAACATGTCGCTGCGAAGTAAAACTCGAAGAGAGCCATTTTCGTCCTCGTCGACAGAACCTCCACCGCCAAAACGGATCCGTTTCATTGCTCCTGCTTCTGTCAAATCTAGATCCTCTCGTGCTCGCCACGCTCCTCGAAATTTCTTTCCTCAGCCAGACTGGAATGCGCCCCCATCCTCTAACAAAATACCTCACTTTACGTTCTGGTTTGCTAAAGATCGACAGGCTTCTTTCTTACCAACTGTAGCTGATGAAAACCTCGTGGCCTGCCCGGATGCTCAATCCACTGTCTCGACTTTGTCCCCCTTTGTTGATCAGTCCAGGGTTTCTCACATGTCGAAAGCTTCCTCTGATCTATGTGCTAATCCCAAACCTCGTAATCCTGAATTTGTCGCTAAACCTGCCGCCAACCAGTCGAGTTCATCCAAGCCTGGCATTTTACGGACCACTGACTTTCTTCCTTCCATAACCATTCAGACTGAAACCCAATCAAGCATTTCTCAAGTATTTCAAACGAATTCTGCTTCTACCTTGCTCCCTCGATCGACTTCCCATGCCCTTTCTGTCACATCTCCACAAAACATTCCAGGTACCAAGCCTGTATCTCGTTCGATTCATTCGTCTATATCGCAAGATCCCTTTGCTGAGAATCCTCCATCTCTGCCTATGATAGGAACGATGCAGGGCGTCTCTCATCCTGGCTCGCTGATAGCTTACCCTGCTTCCACAATATCAAAGGCGGATCCCAGATATGGCTTCCACCCTCCGGAGAATCAATCTTCTGTCCACGCGCATCATAATCCTACTCGTCATCACCATCATTATCACGTCCTCCCTCCTCGTTGCGCTGGCACTCCTACTATTCCTCACTCCATCGGACGCTGGAGTTATCCTATGCACCTAGCCTCTTCGCATACTTTGTTCGCGTCAGCTTCTGGATCAATACCCACGAACCCGCATCTGGCGCCCCCTTCAAAAGCCACCGTATACAGCTCTCATGCTCTCGATGCTAACGTTGTGACAAGCACGATGTCGAAACTAGATACTATTGCTACGATCGCTCAAATGCAGGCACAAGCTCAAGAATAGGAGGACTCGAAGTAACCGAGGGAGAGTAGCTCATCACTCAAACCAGCATATTCTGTCATACGATCATTGGGAGGAGGAACTTCTGGCCGCCATGTAGAGATTAATTGCAATACAATGTATTCCCCCACAAGGCCGATAAGAAATCTCCAAGTTCTAGACAAGATCTCCGCGTATAGTCTGATATTCACAACATAAGAGAAGGACGTAGTCTAGGCACGCATTTGACACAGCTCGATATGGAGGGCTACTGATATGCAGCCAACGCCGCATCTACAACCTCAGTCATACCGATGACGGCTTCCTCCTCCCACCTTTGGCCAACCAGCTGCAAACTGATCGGCGCATCAGCAAAGACGTCGGGCGAGGTATCTATCAATGAATCAGTTGGTATTGCTGTCTCTCCAGGAATGAAAGCGAGCGTACAAAGACCGTGCACCTTCTCGTCCTCCGGCCCCAAGAACTCCGTGCGCTGCAGGGACTGGTCGAGCTCCTGGTCGACTTTCGTCACAGGGAATATAGCAGCCGGATAATCGAGGATGTTGCACCAGGTCGTAAAGAACGCATGTCTACATGTAGGTCAGCGTGCCGTCGACCTCCGACTTGGACATGCTTACATATGGTTCCCGTGCGTCGGTGCGGGATACGGACCAGCAGGAGTGATCAGAGCGTCCACTGGCCTGCCCGTGCCTGTCCTATCCTTCGTGGCCATCCACCCATCAAGATACTTCTTCTGCATCGCCCTCTTGTTCCAGCACACGTTGAAGAACTCGTAACTGCTGAGCGGCACAGGATCCGGCCTGCCATCTCTCTTCCATACGAGCTTCCCTCCCTCGGGCACATCTACCCGATCCGGGGGAGGCCGCAGAGGGTCCATAGTGCTCAGTGCCGGTTCCCCAGAAGACTTCACGGTCTCAATCACGTCCTCCCCAGCTGCGGCCCCGAAAATTGAGGTGGCTATAGGGCGCATCTCCCCGTGCGGAACTGGGGGTTCCCAGTCAATAATTGTATGTCCAGCAGCCTCGAGCGCCGCTTTCGTCTTTTCCAGGGCGCGCCGGATCGGTGGTAGAGGACGGACGATCCCATCATGCCACAGGATAGCGAAGCACATCTTCTTCCCCTCCCCATGCTCCGCAAGAGCGTACGATTCCGCGTCCCAGGGCTTGCGAATGCAGTACGGGTCTCGCGTCCAGGGCTTGGCGTCGAGCACGGCTTTAGTAAATATCTTCAGGCCGGATACGTGTCGTGTCATAGGTCCGAGGACGGAGACGATCCCTTCCTGCCCTTGACCGGAGGTCACGCTGCCTTCGTAGGGGATGCGGTCGTAGGAGGGGCGAAGGCCGTAAAGGCCGTTCACGCTCGAAGGGTTACGGATACTGCCACCGATATCCTGCTCTGATGAGCACAAGCAGAAGAAACCAAGGAGAACGTACCGAGCCGACACCCAGTGGGCTCCCACCCATGCCTAGCAAAGCGCCTTCCCCACCACTGCTCCCGCCGGGCGTCAACGTCCGGTTATGCGGATTCACCGTCCTCCCAAAGACGACGTTAAACGTCTCGCCCCACATAAGTGTCTGAGGCACGTTGGTCCGCACGAACGGGACTGCACCCTGCTCGAGGAGGATATCGACAAGCACGGAGTTCTTCTCCGCGGGCTTGTCGATCCACGCGACGTAGCCCATTACGGTGTCGAGACCGGCAATGCTGATCTGGTCTTTGAGCGATATGGGAAGACCATGTAGAAGTCCGACAGGCTTGCCGGTTTCGGCAAGTGCTTTGTCGAGGGAAGTAGCCCAGGCAACCGCTTTCTCAATGTAGATCTCGGTGAGGCAGTTGGTCTGTATATTCTTGAGCTGATGTAACAAGCACGCCGATGAAGGGACTTACCATCTGGTGCGCAATAACAGCACGTTTGTAGAATGCAGTGGTCACCTCCACAGCGGTATACTCGCCCTTTGCCAACTTCTCCAGGAGGAGTGCGACATCTTTCGTGTCGGTGATCTCCAGTTCGCGGGGGGTAAGCAGCCCACACTCAGCAGGCACATTCGTAACGTTCCTTCGCGACAGCTCTGGTGGGTCGATAATCCACTCCTTAGGTAGTGCAGCTAGCTGAGCAGCCTTCTTCCGTGCAGCAACCGTCTTCCAGTCTTCCTTCGTCGGGACAGCAGTCGCAGTGTCACCCATTGTCGACAAGTTCGGACAAAGCAAGAGCAACCATTGTCAATTCCATAGCTGTTAGGTATATAAGGAGAATTTATTTGACTATTGGTTATGTTATCTGACGTGTTGAGGAGGTGATTGGCCGTGTTATCAGTTGGAAGAGCGGATAGACAACGGGAATCGGCGCGAGTGTAGAGATAGGCATCGTGCAACGAGGGACAACGGAACCGCGACGCCGAATGCCTATATGGCATAAATTTGTGGACAGAATCCGCTGGAGCTGTTCCACGGAAGCTGTTGTGAGTGCACAGCCCCAGATCTTCTCAGAACTCCTGGTCTATTTGGCTTTCTCTGGGCTTGTCCTGAATAGTCCTGGCCCAATCCTGATCAGTCTGACCTTTTATTGCTGAAACCTCACTCCTCCTGTTCAGTACAGATAACTTTGAATAAAAATAGCTTCCCCCCATTTCATCCCAGCACCTTACCCTGGCAATTACAGGCAGGTCCTGCTCTTTCATGGAATATCCTGATGTATTCCAGCTTCTCCTGTGCTCCTGATTGCTCAACTACTCCTGCACTTCCCTGAAGCTGCCTGGAGCACTGCATCCATAACTGCATTAACTCCACCATCTCAAGAGAAGTGGAGCAAGTCAATGGACATTTCTTCCTAATTTGGGAAAAGGGTCTGTTATTACTCTCCCTGGATCTATGCAGACCCATGACAAGACTATTCCCACCACCCTTGTACATAACTGTGATACCTTTTTTGGGGATCTGCTATAGGCTGGTACACATGTGCCAACCTATAAGAGGGTATATGTACTCTGGCCTTGTGACAGGTTTGTGAATATCTTCCCTTTTGTCAGGGTTCACCCAGTTTTGGTGCAAAGTTGATGCAATCAACACCAAAAGGCTTACTTTGGCCTCAGGATAGCCCAAATCTGCTGACCCTGAAGTGAAACCACTCGACTTCTTTGAAGCACCACCCTAAACAATGGTAAACTGTACAGTCCCACAGCTACTCTTTTGATTCCATTATACTTCCATTTTTTCCTACATGTATATATACCAGCTCTAGGAGCCTTATGCCCCTTAGAGCTGATCTCTCAGGAATTCCACTGTCAGATAGTGATGAACCTAGATCAAACTCTCACCAAACCTCTTTAACTCTCTGATTGGCATTCAAACCTAGACTTTGACCCCCTCAGACTGTTCATGACTCCACTGCACCTCTCTTGTGACTAAAGGCATTTTGGGCGGATTTGATACATTGGCCCTACTGTTGACCAGAACTCAAGCTTTCGTGCTCTCCTTGCTGCTTCTTGCTTTTATTGGGCTCCTGATTTGAGGATACTTTCAATATCTGGCAGTGTGCCCTGACACCTTTGTTCTGAACCTTGATCACATTTAGTGAGTTAATGTCAAACCAGTCTATCAAGTGTGAGCATCAGATATGGCAATGAAGACCATAGCATGCATACCTATGCAGGCAAAGAGATCCAACCTTCTTCTTTCAATACCCTCTTATTCCACTCCAGAGTATGAGTAACTAATCCTGAAAAATATGTGGCTAAGTCAGGGATGTTTGGGGGCATTCTGTGCCATGAGACTACTAAATTACCATTCTGGGAGAGCAAATGACATGATGAGTGAGCTTCTGAATGAGTCCCACTTATATGATGTGCTTGTTCTTGGCTTACTTCTCGCACAATGTGACTATCAATCAAGTATCTCTCTCTATAGGTGCTTGTTGGATAGGCAAGGACTAGTTGCAACCAGTGACAAAAGCATGTGAGCTGGCAAGAGCAAATAATGGAGAAAATGAATGTGCATTAGAAGATGAGGTATCTATCTATCAAGTTTTCAGGCAGTGCATAGCAGTTTGTTTAATACCTCTTCTAGAGGTAAGATAGCATTTCCTTCCACCATGTGAAGGAGACATTCTGGGTGGACATATATGCATCATCATCCCCCCTTCAGTACTCCAAAATACTGCTGTACAGCATGCCATAATTGAAATGAGTGTCTGAGGGATCATTGTCTAAGAGCATATAGTGAAACTAAGTCTGGTAAGTCTGCCATACTGTGCCATAAAAAGGATACATACCTGAACAGCCATATAGGCAATGGTAACAGGCAACAGCAGATGAAAGTCAGGTATGGCCACACTAAACCAATAGGAAGTACCAGACTGCTGCATATGAGTGCCTGCCAAGGTTGTGGCATAAATGACATGAAGGGCCTAACATGTCAATCCAATGATATTGAGCTGGATACCTCATATAACATCCAACAGAAGCACATACCTCCAGGAGCACCTGGCTGACAAAGAGCACTGGCTGTGAGGTATTGTCATCATTGTCTTGAGGGAAGACAAAGGTGGGCCACATATGAGGGTTGCAGGAATGGTTGGAAGCATGCCAAAGGGTTATCTGACTATGAGACATAGTGAGAGTATGTGAGAGAGGCCCAGGGTAATCAACTCACAGATCATTTGTAACAGAGATGTTGAGTACAGATCCTCCCTGCTGATCCCAAATTCCCATCCATCATAATTGAAATGGTTCCTCAGTCAAGACAGGTCATTTGCAAACCAATCCTGATCTAGAAGACTCATCAGCATCATAGAACCTGACAGAAGAGAACACATAAATTAGAGAGGAGGAAAGAGTCAAGGTGGTGCTGATCCAACCCAAAAGGTGTCCAAAACATTGGTCTGATGGGTGGTGTGCAAGAACTCGCAGGGGGAAGAGGTGAAAAGTTGGTAGAAACATGGGAATCAGCCTAAAGCTGAGCTGTCAGAAATTGGTCAGTAAATCAGTAGTCAGTGTCGGTCCAGTCAAGTACAATAAGTCAAGTCAAATACACTAAGTCAAGTCTGCCAGTATACAAATAATCAGATCTGTATAACTCTAATGGAAAAGGGGCAGAATCAGCTAAGTACAGGAGTTTCTGGAAACTACTTATACTAGCTGCTCTAGGCTGTGCTCTATACTAAACTTGTATCTGGATAGCTCACCAAGGTGGAGGTTGGCATGCCAAATATCCAGGTGGGTCAATCCTGTTGTGGGGGAAACCTGCAGTTGTCATGCCGAATAATTGGAGAGTTGAGACTTGCTGCTGGGTGTCAGGGCACCAGCTCATTGCTTGGTCAAGAGACATGACTAAGCCTTTATGACATGGAAGTAGCTGGTATACCTTGGCATGTGCTGGAACCTGCTGGAAGGATTCGATGGTCAGGTGACATGCTGTGCATGGCTGTGCATGACCTCATATGACCTCATCCTTGGTCATATGACCTGATCACCTGACTAGGCTGAGTAAGCAAGATGTTCTAGCAGGTTCCACCACA